TATATATATGGGGCTCATATCCAAGCTAGATTTATTAGCTTGGGAATTAATGCTACACCGCCAAATGTATTAGCTTGGGCACTAATGCAAAAGCTAACAGGCTAAGCTGAGGTTCTTCCATGAAGCAGCTCTGTAGGCTGAGTCATTTCTACAATCTCCTCTCTGTCAAGGTGCTCTGGTTTATTTAAAAGGGTTGATCATCAGATATTGTCCTAAATGAACCTTCAGGGTGGATAGAGCTCGCTGTAGCCTCACACTAGAGAAAAAAAATGAAGTTTTGTACTATGGTGGAGAACTTAGTGAACATTATTATTTACCCACTATGCTTCAGTGTAAAGGCCCTGTCACACTAGACAACTTATGCCAACTTATGAACATTTCAAAGACGTCTTCATTGAAGATAGAATTGAAAAAATCAACAGAAAGCTTCTTTTGGCGTGTACATAATGTAATTTGAACAAATTGATCAAGTTTTATTAGCAGTTTAGACAAAAAATGTTTCATAAGTTGGCATAAGTAGTCTAGTGTGACAGGGCCTTAAATATGGTGGCGTCTGTGTGACATAACCTACAATATTTCTACAGTTGAAATAAATGTGTAATGTTGCAACCAGTTGGGCTTCACTATACAGTTGGATAATCTGAATCCATATTTTGTCACACTGAGGCACCGTTCTCAAGTCAGATTTGGTTTCTAACCAAATACCTGAAGAGTTGATTCCTAACATCTCTGCTCTAACTCGTGTAAGCTTCAATTATCATGGTGACACGTTGTGATGATGAACACGTCAACGTTTCACCCCATAAACATCAGCATGTCCAGATTGGCATGTTGGAGCGGTAATGTTAGTGCTCAGCTCAGGGCACAGCTGTGACAAATTACAACCTTTCAGAGCTGGGAGCGAGGGTCTGTTTACTGCTGTTGGTTAACCTTTTTTTTTCTCTCTCACATAATCAACCAGAAAAAATAAAAATAAAAACAACAACTTAAATGTGTTTTTTGTGATGCTTTGTTTTAATTTCATCTTATTTAAAGAAAAAACWTGAAATGTGATCAGTCTGGCTCAAATTGTTACTATTTTCACCCTTTGCATCACTTCCTTCCAACATTCAGTGCAGGTTTTTATTTCCACACCGCTGTATTTACAAATTTGCACAAATACGTTCATCCCAAATTCTGCTCACCCACCCGTCACTATCTGCRCCTACCGGAGCCTTGGCTATCAGCCTCAGCTGCTCCTGCCATCACACGTCTCAGCACAGTGAACACATCAAACTCAGCAGCAATACGTCAGGAAAAAACAACAACAAAAAAATCAATACGAAGAATAAACGAATGACAGCTCTATCTGTGATCCTGTTGTCCTCTTTAAACACAGACACAGAGGAAACCAGTTATCTGTGTTTATTGGCTGCAGAGGCATCTGTACAATTACAGGTTTGTTTTTTTTATTTTTTATTTTTTGGCCCAAGACTAAAAACTATTCATGCAGGAGGAGGAAAAAAAAAAGCCTTCATGTCTGAGCTATTTGCAGAATAAAACACACTGCGGGTGTCCTGTGCATCTCAGTGTAAAAGATGATGCAATGATTTTATAAAACAGGAAACGATGAACTCATAAACTCAAGAAATTCATGTTAAGACGTACAACTGTTGTTGCAAAATACCATATGGTTTATTTACCATTAATAGAGGAATCATCAATTTTTAAATTTGTAAAATAATGTAAGACCTAGAAACAGCTTGATGTGTTCAGAAATGTATGTTGTGACTCGGCTGTATATAAACTGAATGGAAATTAATTATTGTGAAACTTAAAACCCTAAAAAGRTATGAAAATGTTTAATWTGGCTAATCTTAAAGCTAACAAACRTCAGCGTTTTTGTAAACTGCTATGAAGAATTAAAGATTGAACTGGTTTTAAAACTACAGGCTCACTCAGAAGGTTCTGTCAGATTTTAAAGGAGCAATGTGTTTCTCAGACATGTTTAAATACCATACCATAATAAAGTATCTATGTCACTATAGTTGTTATTAAAATGCTGTTTTTATGTTTAAACAGAAAATAAACTTATCTTCTCATCACTTCCTCTTCTAAATGCCTTGGAATTGGACTCTGTCACTTTAAGAATCAGTTTCCATTTCTGTCTCGCCCATTTTGGGGGGGAGGGGACCRCCATAATGCAGTTTACTTGGCATCTGAAAATACATTTCCTCAAAGGTATTTATAATCTGAAAAGAGCTTCACTGAGTGAAAACTATTGCTGGAAGATCAGCGGACAGTTTAAGTTTCACTTTCAGTTTCACCCGAGAGTCTGCAGGAGTCATGGGCGGGGTGTGTGTGTGTGTGGTGGGGGGGCGGGGGGTGCTCTGCCATGAGGAAGCTTGGCTTAAAGACACGTCCCAGGGGCGTTCATGGTCCCCAAAGGTGTTTCTGGTCCCCAACTGTTGTTTTGCTCCTCAGCATGGCTGCCTAAAAACGCTGCAGGATTTCTCAAACTTGCATGAATGAGTCAAAGCAAGGCTTTGGGCCTATTTTTATGAGCGCATAACATTATAACTTGATATAAAACTCAAAAAAGTTGATTTTACATGATATTGCCCCTTTAACTCTTCAAACCAAGGTTGTTTAAAACGTCATCTACAACAGGTAAGACATTAACCGTTCATAACTTTCCCACAGAATCCAGCTTCAAAAGATTTGAACTTTGACTTTAAGTCCAAGCATATTTATGTGGGTGGACAGTTTCAACTCATGCCTCTAAATTAAGAGACCTTTCATAAGAACACGATGGAAATAAATACTGCAGTGATAAACGGGTTAAAAAAATAACTCTTTGATCAGATCAGAACAACCTGAGTCATTTTAAAAAGTAGCCTCCTTTGGGGCTTGACGAGCAGAATAAACGCCCAAACTTGAAACGTCTTTGCCAAGAACGGCTGTCTTACTGAAAGACAACAGCGGCGTAGAGGGTTCCAAATGACCTGAGATTATTGTTGCCCAGCAGAGCTCAAAGGTGCGATTATGTATCGGACGCTGTCGGTTCTTCTGTGCAGGCCTCGAGAAGTTCGGCGGCCGGCGCCTAGGCGTAGTAGCAGGGCGACACCAGCAGGTCTGTGAGCACCAGCAGCTGGTCGTCGGTGAAGCTCTGCCGGTGCTCCTGCCAGTTGTCATGGTGCGTGCGCCTGAACTCGGACAGGGTCTTCTTCACCGTCATCTTAAGACAAAAAACGCAAAAATATCAATTAGGAATGGATTTCTGGGATGGCATTCCCAAAATTTGTGAACTAAGCTAAGTCCAAGTCAGGAAAGCAACCACTTTTAACAAACYATAACTCTGTCAATATTGAGTCCAAATTGATGGATACAAAAAGGGTCATTTATTGAAATATTAAWGGGTGTTAAATATCATCTAATCATTCCATCCTGGGGAAAAACAAAGTTTGAGTCTCTTATTTAAAATCCCTGAGTTATAACAGCAGGGCTCATGATGAATCTATGTAGATTTTTTTTAGATCGTTATTATCCAGATTCAATATTCATAAATAGAACAACAGTGCGGCAGCAAATAAAAAAAAAAGCTACAAAAATAAAACGGTAAAGCATAATTAAAATGTTCCACTGACGAGAAATGCAACACTCTGAAAATAATGTTTTTGTGTGTGACAGTACGACGCTATTATACTCTGTTATCATAAAAATAGAACAGCACGCTGTGTAAAATATATATATAAAAAATAGAAAATAAAAGACAGAATGCAATAATTTGCAAATCCTCAGAGCATTACTCAGAAAACAGTTCAAAGTCAAAACATTAAACGCTGATTCCTTTTTAGTTGGAAAAAACAGTCTACAACATTTTTTAAAATGTTGGATTTTGTTTCTTTTATAACTTCCCTGAAGACGTACAGCACTCGAACAAAATAATAATCTGTAGTTCAGCGAGTAATAAAAAGGTTTTTTGAAAAGGAATTACCGGTGATTTAAACTGAAGACTGTTTTAGGCTACAGCTACAAACAGAATGGGTAAATATTYATGACAGAAGAGACTTTTATTCTCTCTGTGCACCAGTGTCTGTTGTTTTACACTTTCCCAGAGAACTGAATGGTTGTTTGGACATGTCGACTCTCTCTTGTTGAAGTAATAAAATCATTGACTCAGGGTTTTAGGTTCATAAAACTGAAACTTTCAGTTACCTTAACAAGCCTGTGTTTTAGTCCAAGGTTTGGATTAGGGTTCAGCAAATTTGGCCCTCAGACTCTTGCATTGTTGAAATGAATAGATGTCATTTTGAGCTCTATTTTCCAGAAATACCTGCATCTGTCTTCTCCCCAAAAACTCAGTATTAGGTTTACAGCTACTCAGGCTTAAAGCCAAACAAACTTCTACATTATTATGCTCAAATAGATGTGCTTGACTTTCAGTATTTGAACCTTTCCATTAGACCGTGCAGTAAAGTCCTGTAATAAAACGAGAAGTTAATGGCAGCTTCTTCCTGCCTCATTTGCTTTGGGCTGTGATTTTGTGAAAACAAAGTAAAAAAATATGTTTTCCTTACCTTGATAACAGCTTCTGATTATGATGTATTAAAAAAAATTACAGTTCAACCTAGTATTTCTTATTTTGAAACAATAACATCAAAATTACGAACAAACAAATAGTTGTGTGAATGCCTGGTTTTTATRTACTTAAACACTATTTTTTTAGCTCTTCATATATCAAAGTGCTCACAGGATGTGGGTGCTAGAACATCTGTTTTTGTAACATTTACTCTTTTGAAAATGTTTACTTTATTCACAAAATTTAAATTATTATACTGTTTTTAAAAATGTTATTTTTATTTTTAATTTTTTGCTATGATGAGCTGATTGCAAAATCTTTACTGATGCATTTACCTTTTAGCTTCAGGTTTTTTTGGGTAATTTTAGCTTTTAGCTTCTGCTATTTCTAGCTTTTAGCTAATATTTTGCCGATTTTAGCTTTCTTTTTGCTACTTTTAGCTAGGCTTTAGCTGCTTTTTTATTTTACTGGCCTTTTGCTACAATTTTCTTTAGCTAACCTTAGCTTATTTTAGCTTTTAGATGGTGCTTTTCTACTTTTAGCTCCAAGATAAAATTAGTTATTTTTGGCTTTTAGAGAGCATTTTGCTTCTTTACCTTGTAGTTTGTTTTCTGCTTGCTTTGGCTTTTCACTAGTGTTTGCCTGTTTTAGCTTTTAGCTAGTGTTTTAGGCTTTAGCTTGTGTTCTGCATGTTTTTTTTTACAAGTGTTCTGCTTGTTTTAGATTTTAACTTGTGTTGTGCTTATTCTACCTTTCCCTCTAAGCTGAAATCAGGAGAACACTAAGCTAAAACAAGCAGAACCCTAGCTAAAGCAAAAACAAATTAAACACTAGCTCACATGCTATGAGCTAGTGTTTAGTTTGTTTTACTCTTTTAGCGAGTGTTCTGCTTTTATTTACTTTTAGCTATTGTTTTAGCTTTACCGGCTTAACTTCAGCTTCTTCAGCAGACTTCGGCAGTCCTTCAGTGTTCACTCTGTATTTTCTCAGAAACCAACATTTTGTCACATTTGTGTTTGTTGTTTTTGCTCTGGAGATGTTTGATGTTAAAACTGCAGAGCCGAATCCGGCAGCAGCTGACAATCTCCCAGCTTGTTTACGCTGATGAAAAGCTAATGAGGCGGTGATCATTTATTCATGTTAAAACACCAGATATAACGTTTTAAAAATGCAAYGCAGGAATTATTCAGAGCAACATGAGTTTGGAGTGAAACATCAGCTGATTCAACAAGAGCAGAAAACAAGGAATTAAACTGCGGATCGGGGGAACTAAAAGATGTCCTCATGACTTAAACATGGAGCATGTTTGTTTTATACCGCRGCCTTCAAAGATTTTAAGAAAAATTAGGAGATATGTGATTTTAACCGCAAAGTTTGCATGTGTTGGTGGTCTGTGTTTGTATTGTCTAACGATTTAAGTCTTTTTCGGATTTAAGAACATGTGAGTTTTTAATTTTAGAAGCAAGGGGGGAGGTTGAGAGGTTTGGCGCTTGTGCACACAAATTTCATAAATACATTTTACCTTCAAAGTGGTACTCTGTACGGAACGGTTGACACAAAAAGTTTTTTGGGAGAAAATACAGAAAAAACACAAATCACTGTATCTTATGTGCATGTTATACACATTTTACTCCTGTTACCCTCTGTAATAGACTGCCTAAACCTACTYAGAAACCTACATTTTCATCCAGGTTTTGTTGTATTTTCTTCCTCATTTCTGCCACTTTGCAACCGGAGAAGCACTAAATTATCCCCAGTAGCTCACTGCCTGCTCTACGGATTATATTGTATGTCTACTCCACGCCTGAAGAAAGGCCAAAGACATAATTTTCTCCTCAATTGGACAATGAAATTGTATTCTTTTAGCTCACGCTGTTTTGAGATAGAGGTTAATGTACGAGTGTGTGTGTTTGTGTGTGTWTTCACACACCTCTATGGGCTGCGGGTCGTTGAGGTGGTCGCTCAGGTCCATCAGTATCTGCGGCATCCAGCACGGGACGTCGTAGGGGCTTGACAGGATGCACGCGCTGAGACCGAGCACTCCGGCGTGGCGCCTCACTAAGTCTGCACACACACACATACAGCGGGTAAAATAAGTATTGAACACGTCACCATTTTTCTCAGTAAATATATTACTAGAGGTGCTAATGACATGAAATTTTCACCAGATGTTGGTACCAACCCAAGTGACCAGCTGAACTCTCTCAGTAATTAGAAAGCAAGCCTGCCCCTTGTCAGTGCAAGTTAATAT